TGGCCTGTAATTGCTCGGGTCCAATTCATCAATGTCTACACACTGTGACTGAAAAGAATGATGGAAAGTTCCCACTGGTCAGTAAGTTCGAAATGTAAGTACAGAAAGCCTAAAAAATAGGAAAATGTCGAAATTTTGCAGTTTTTCAGTCGTCTTCTCTGGTGACCAAATTTTCACAGGATGAAAACTTGGTCACGGAATGACTCAAAGGAACCAATGAAAATGTAAGGCCCCATTAGGGAGGGCGGGTATCCCATATCCTCAGTTTGACTTTTTGGCCTAAATATCTTGTATCCCGTCAATATTCCCGTGGTTTGTATCTCGAGTATCCATATCCCGATGATTTTTTATTCAGATATTTGGATTCCGGACAACCCTTATTAAGGCCAGCTTATACGTATATTACATCTGTCTTGTTGATCATTCAAATTCAAACATTTATGTGGCAATCGGAGGCTGGTTTAAGAACGAATACGAACGAGAAAAAAATCAAACCAAAAAGGCTATGCTGGAACAGTTGGAAGGAAATCGTTCATACGTTGTTAGCGATATTAAACATGAAAGGCTCATTTGGCACTGATCGAGATTACGTTGTTGTTCTAAGTCAATAGTGAATAATAGCTAAGCTGTTAGCCGAAGGTTATTTGAGGAAAAGAGACATAGTTGTCCAGAAGTCCGCCAGTCTCATTTTCATCTCAGTCCTCCTTAAGGAGTAATTACTTCTCCAGCGATACCATATCACTCCGTCGAATTATGAGCGCTTTCCATGATAATAGAAGCCATTCAAGCCAGAGGAGTAACAGGCACCATACCACAAGGCTCCTTGATTGTTAATGGCGCAGTTTCTGTCCCCGCTATGCTCATCATTATCTTGATCTTGAGTAGTCCATGGCCGGCCCAGCATTTCCTAACAAAATGGCACATGAAATGAATAATTATTTATGATATTATGAGCCATAGGCGATAAAAACAGAACAATGCAGTATGCGTCATGAAATCTTGTGATAAAGGAAGGTTGGCTCCTACTTACAATTAAGATCTTTAAAATTTTAAAAATTCAAACCCACAAAGATACTGAGCTAAAAACAACTGCCACCAGAACCAGTAAACAAAATTAAATCCTGAAATATCTGAACTGAACAATTAACCCTAAAAAATCAAATGTAAGTACACTCTATTTTATTTTTCAAGTGGAGGTTACTTGATTGCATCAGCCGTCCCGTCATTCTTTACGTACGCATAACCAAGTCGATGTCAGAGAGATGGAAATGATAAGATTCATTCATAGAGCTATAAAAGCAAACACTGGCAGGCTAAGCAAGCTTAGATTGATCTCGTGGACATGCACGACGGTATCGGTGTAAAACTTGTTTCGTTTTTGGGTAAATGATGCAGCGAAGAGCGAAGGAGTAAGGAATCTTTCATAATATTCACACTGCCCCCATTAATTACGAAACTTAGGGATTTACCTGAATAAGAATCAAAGATCAGCTCGTACTTGTTATTCTCACTCATGACACCAAACATGTTATACTCAGCAAAGGCAGTATTTATCTGAGGTCAGACGGTAGGTCATGTCCAGTCTCAGCCAATATACTCGCCACTCACATTACCAAAGCAACCTTTTCTGTCGAGTCCTCAAGTTCGTAGAAATACCATGGTATTTTTTTAAAAACTTAACAATACATCGATGGCAGAATAGCTCATTGCTCACAAATTCTTCTCCACATTTGTGACAGAACATCGTAATACACCTGGTACAATTTAGTCCGTTCGCGCAGTGACTCCAAGTCGACCTAGTGCATCCCGAGATCTCGCCTTACCTCTAAATCCTTTATAAAATTTTCGATGTGTTCATATGAGAGGGCGGCCTGGCTCGGTTACCGAGATCTCGGTTTTTCCAACCGGGATCTCGGTAAGCGGGCTGGAAAATTTTGCCATATGAACACTTCATTCCGGTTACCGGGATGAATTCTTCGCAACAGCGCATGCGTTTAATGGTCGATGACGTAGGGTTTGGTGAAATATATGGTCTCAACTCTGCAACGAGGTTCACAAAAGAGGTTCTTGACATTCTGAAGTTTTCTTTCCAACATTCTTCAGGAGCAGTTCCTGTCCAAATGTTTTCCCACCACGAGTCAGTTCGACCAGGCTTATACCAACACGTTCGAATGCTTCGGTTCAAGCATCTTTGCTTTATTCGTTTCAACCTTCGTCACGAATAATTTCGCTTCCGAAACAAGGCGGCCCGAATGGCATCGTTTTGCTTTGCCTGATGAATTTTCCACATCATTAGCAACCCGTTTAACTGCAGTGATACAGCTAAAGGGGTTGCCAAAGCCATGATAGGCGTAAAAGAAATAACTCGGTTGTGTTTCGCCATCTATTTTTGTTTTTGTTTTTCTAATTTCGCGCCAAAACTCGTCCCTAGGATCTTCGGCCTTTTCTCATCTCAGAAACCGGGCTTTCCCATACGAACCCAAGGCGAAATTCGTCCTGGTAAGCGGGCCAGCCCGGTTAACCGGGCTCATACGAAGAGGCCTAAAGTGTTGACTACTGGCGCAAGTGTCACGTGACATAATATTTTTCTCGATTTGCGAAAATTTTTTGGATTTGGAAAGATTCTTGGATTGAGAGGCATTTCCTATTCATGAAAGTTATTTATGGATCTATGAATCAAACCAGGACTTGAAACTGATTTCTCTGTTTGACAAACTTTTCAAAAGCGATTTGTCCAAAAGATATCCATTCTAAATATTTCTTCGGATTTGCAAAATATTTTTGGATTGTCCCTTTTCGGTTTACGTAGTTTCAGCAACCAGTAACAAGCTTAATAAAAGGTTACAATTTCCCCGAAATGCTCATGCCAAAATGAGCCAACTTCTCTTAACTGTTCTGGTTGATACCAGGTACTTTGAAATGAACTTCTGACCAAAAAGTTGTCTATGTTTTTGTCGCGTTTGAATTAAATTAGTGCAGGGTTGTGAAAAGATCGTACCAGTCTCTCAATCGTTTTGAGGTGATTTCAAGTTTTTAAGAATGATAGACCTGTGTGGTTGTGAGGGTGAAGTGTGAGAGTGAGTGGAATGCCATCGGTATTTTCCCTCTGTGCCATTTGTAGTGCTGGACTGTCGATCAATTTGCCGGGCGCGGTGGTGGCCCGCTTCAAACGCGACAAAAACATAGACAGCTTTTCGGGCTTGCAGATAAAACGTCAGATTTGAAACTCTTAACGGTGGCCAATTTGCGTTATCAACGCAGTTGATGATACAAAATTACCTTGTTATACTCTTCTACCGACTCAGCACGTCAGTTTCTCTGGGAACTTACCCCCTTTATAAATAGCAACCCTTTTCATCGACAGCGTTCTTCCCCCGAAGCCATGCGCGTTGATTATCAAGATGGCGGATTCTTCTGTAGTTCGATCTCGTAGACATCAATATCTATGGGAAAGTTTGGTCGATATTGGAGAACTTGAAGACGAAGCTAAACCGAACAGGTGAGTAGACGAGGTCTTAATTCGCATAGAAACCGAAAATTAAGCAAAATGACGGTCTGTCGGCTAGATTTTTCGCTAATTATAACTAGGGCCTTCGACAAGTTCTATTGAAAAAGACTCTGACCACTGCATCTCTTGAGTTTAAAAGGAACTGCTATCATTTTCAGTGGACAATATTTTTGCGAAGGAATTTTTCCTTTTTCTGGAACGGCAAAAGAGACTTGTGTCGCTTTTTGACTTGATAACAGCGTGATTACAACATTTAAATAACAAAAACAATCTCTCTACCTTTTGCAAAGAACTTAAGTGAGTAATTTGATAACGAATGAACGATCTCATATCTGTACAAAACTGTACAGTGTGTCGTTGTAAATCAATTATGGTTCCGTAATCATGAATTAGGTGACGAGTAGAAGTTGACATGAAGTGTTATCAATCTTGCGTCCGCTGTTCTACTTTGAAAATACTCTTTGCTTTATATCTTGAAGTAAAAAAGATACCAAAATAAAATTTTCCGAAATTATTAGATCTTTATTTTCTCTACTAGATATGAAATTTCAGAAAATTGAAAAATATGACTTTTTTCCCCTTCTATGATACCTTTGCAAGCACAATGAGATAGAATTAACTACATGCAGAAAGTAAACTATTCTCCTGTGATGGTTTCACTGTATAGATAAATTTGCATTAGAAACAGGATTTTTATAGTATCCTCACTAACTGCGAGGAGGGGGGCACTTATTTTACATTTTGGCCTAGGGTGTGTGTGCTTGGGGGGAGAATGCTTATTCAAGGAAATATAGTCCTTTCATATGATTTTATGCTGCAAACTACATAGCAGACATTAAACAGAGTTATACCATTTCACAAGTCAACTTTGAGCTCAAGTCAAGCTCCAGTCACAAGTCAAGTTTGAGTCAACTTAAATTTTTCCCCTCTTTGAAAAATAACATTGTAAGGCAATATGCTATTATTTTAGCCACCAATAAGTTAAAACAAGAAATGGAAACCTGATCATTTAATGAAGTTTTTTACTTTTCACTTCAATTGAAAGAGCTTGTTTCATCTGGTTTGATTTCACTGCATACAAAAATTCTTGCATTCTAAATTGTTGCTGAGGGCTCTTAGATCTCTCTCCACCTTACAGAATTGTCACAAAGTTTACAAAATGTTTTAAAGGCAGTTATTGTCCATCTTATAGAATTGTTGCAGAGTTTTCAAAATGTTTCAAAGGCTGTTATTGTCCGCTAAGACATATTAAAAACCTGGTGGAAACCATAACTGAAGCTCTAACAAGGAAGATATTTAACTCGCTAACTTTCAACTTCTTTTCCATGCATACTACTCAGTCCATATTATACATTTTGTATTCCACACATTATTATGTGATCATTTTGAAACATGGCTCACTTTACAAGTTTTGAGCAAGTGAAACCCGTATACCACAAGAAAATCAAATAAAGTTAAACTTGATCATTCTGGTGAATCAAATGTTTTATAGAGGAATACATATGTTCACAACAATTTTGGCTAATGAGAGAATGGGATCCCTGTGGATGCAACATGGCAGTCAAGTACTAGAAATTGGTTTTACACTGCAAGACTTGGTGGTTTGTTTTAGCATAAGGACTTCTGCCTCAGTTTTGTGAAATAAAGGAAAAAAAGTTGGAATCTCTGGGGGAAATCGGTAGATACTCTGGAATGTTAACTTTCATAAACTGAGCTGTGAATCCATGCTGAATTAACCCTCGCAAATGGCCGTGAAAAATGTTTTAAGCTTACAGTAAAACAAAGTGGTCTTGATTCCCTGGTACATCATTTTGACACATATCAAATAAAAACAACAAAGAAGAAAAACAATTTGAATTGACTCGAACTTGACTTGTGACATGAACTTGACTTGTGACTCAAACTTTACTTGTGATATGGTATAATTCCTTTAAACAACTGACATGGCTGCCACTATTTGATTCAAAATTCACCTTTTCAGCATTAGATTAATCCAAGCCAGAATGCTTCCTGTTACATTCTTCGCATCCTCTCAATGGGTAGCAAAATAATAATGTGCTTGATATGTAATCTTGAAAACATATGATAAAATGAAGAAGTCAATTTTGAGCAAAGATTAATACTTAAGGACAGTGGGAAATTATTTATGACAACTTAGTGAAGCCAAAGTTCAGACATGGGTAGTGAGTGGTTGACTCTACGTCTGAACTATTGCAGTTTGTTTACATCAAAAGTTGTGACACCTAACTTGTAAAATCTAATGCCAAAAAGGTGAACTGTGTGAAAAGGATGGAATTTTTCATGTTCCACACAAAATCAATCATTTACATATTAATGTATCTGAGCTGAGATAAACATGTACTTAAAAATCTTGAAGTAAATTTATCCAATGGAAAAAAATTCTTGTATTTTTCATAAAATGCATCAGTAATTAGTGATTGCTGCTTTTTATAGAAATTTGAGAGGGAATCTTAATGAGGGTTTCCTTCTAAAAGTTCCCCAAAAGCTTAATTTTGCAAAATAAAAAGTGTACAACTTCTTCCTCTTCTTCAATTTTCCCAAAGTATGACAATAAAGTTAGTTGAACCCTTTGGCAAGGTAAATCTGTTTCAGTAATTCAGCTAGACCCAGTCCAAGTACTGGAAATAACTGTTAAAGTCAGCCAACTTTGAAAATTTGGCCCTAATTTTTTCTTAATCATAGCAGTTTCAGAAAGCTTTTATGCTTGAATTGCCTGCCACAGTATCTCACTGATATGCGCAAATGTCTGGCATATGTCTGCCTTTCTGTCTATAAAATAGAAATGATAGGATAGTGCTATCATTAGAAATTGATTCTCCTGCTGAATAGAACTTGGACTAAGTACAAGTTCAAGTTCAAGTTCAAGACTTCTCACCAATCACATAATTGTAACTCGGGCAACTGATTTCTCTTTCACAGCTGATGTCACACTTGTGGATGGCTGTTAATTGTAACTTCTTGAAGACCAATCCCTGCAGAGCCATTCCTTTTATGCTCCACACAATGGCCATCACCTCAAGAGGCCGACAATGAAGAACACTCTTCCACATTTAATGACCACAATAGAATAAAGATTGAGCGCATAACTTAACATTACCCTAACTATGCCTTGTCTGCTTGTTGTGGAGAGAAAACCGAGCCAATCGATACACAAAGTTATTTTTAACAGAGTGCCTCTGAAAACTGTGAAATTCAGTTCATCGCAATATCCATGAGTAACTCATTGATTACTTTTTACTTTCCTACTTTTAGAGTGACAAATTGTTTTTCTTGATTGGTGGCAGTAAAAAGGTTTTCAGATTGTTTTCAGCTAACTCTTTAACCGTTTTGACATAAACATTAATTATCCTCAGTCTCACATACATTTCTTCTAATTTTAGCTCAGAGAATTTGGCATTTAATCAAACAAGTATACTCAAGGTGTGTTGGATTGTGAGGAGAAATTACTTATTGATCATTTCATGGACTGAAAAGGTTAATATTTGTGGGGGTAAAGTGATGTCCTGAAGCAAAATTTTTAAGTACACAGTCACACAGTCACTCTGTAACATTTATTTCAATTCAATTGATAGGTTTATTGAATAAAGTTGTTTGTTTGGACTCTGGAATTCTAATTACCTGGTTTTTCAGATGGATTTCACTTTGGTTTCTTCCAAAATTGTGGAAATTTTCAAAATGATTTTTAAGTATAAAGAAATTGCAAAGGAATCGAGATTAAAAGTGTTAAAAGAAATGGAAAGAAGTCTCAAGAGGTATATTTCCCAGGCCACAATGATGACAAAATGAAACCAAAATTCATTGCCTTGTAAGATTACATTGATTGCAATACAGCTTAAAACTGTGACTCATGCATGAGTAATTTTGTCGGAGACCTTTGGCACAGGTACTTCCTTGAGATTATCCAACATTTCAATACTGTTTGCATTTTCACTCCTCTCAATTACATAAAAATAGAGCTTTACACCTAAGTTTGTGGAATTCCAGTTACTCAATGTTTCAGACTTTGAATTTATTTGTGGCAAAACTAAAATTTCAACTCTAGGCAAACTTATGGCTGTCCATGTTTGCTTTTTACATGGCATCAGTTTCATTTACACAGGAAACTGATGTCAGAAACTGAAGCAGAAAAATTAAATGGACAGATAGGTGTTGTTTGTGTCAAAAAATTGAGATTAGAAGCATTAAAAAATTGGAAAGAAGTCTCAAATGTTATGCTTTTTCTAAGCTGTAACTATTACTTAATTGCAGCTGGAATTCTATGTGGGGTTTCCTTGCCTTCTCTTTTCATTCCTTTTATATGTGGAATTCATCTCTGTTCTTTGATTTGTTTTCTTTGTCTTAGTCGTATTATATTTGGCTTCCAAGGTCCACTGATTTTAAGAACATAGCAAAGCTGAACAGATCTCCTCCTATTTGGCCAAAAGTTTAAATAAATAGCCAGGCTGGAACTTATTCAAGCAAATGTGAGACATTCATTTAATGTCATTCACATTTCAAGCTGTTTTAGGTACTATAGCAGTGGTTTGAGAGGTGAAGAAGAATTTTGTCTTATTATTGGGAGGGAAATCATTTTATCTGACATATGGTAAGGGTTTTAAGAGGGGTGCTGCATACCTCCACTTTTTTTTTACTATGTTGTCATGATTATGTGGCAGTGAAGTGAGGTTTCAGAAGTGATTTTCAGAAGGCTACACCCTCCCCTTACTCCCTCCCCATTGCTTTCAAGTGGTGACTAATCATAGAGGATAAATAGATCACAACACAAAGTATAAATCCATTTACAACATTTATTCTACACTAATAAATTTGGGAGTTCAGGCTCCATTTACAAATACTTGTAAGTAAAAATTTTAACTGTCTATAAGTCTGATGCTTCATCCTCTGATTTTGCACAGCAACTTATTGACATATTATTACATTATTTGAGAAACAGGCCTTAAATATATACAAAAATATACTAATATTTACATCAACTGCAGAAACTCCCCAAAAAAATTTTCGAACTAGTATGACATAAATCTCACTTCACTAACCTGCCAAAAGAACTTTTCTTCGAAGCGCCACGAGTTTACGTACAGTTTCGGTAGGATTTCAATGGCAGTAAATTTGAAACTACTTGCATCGGATCGCTTCGATCAGAAGAAAATCGAGCACTAAAACAAATGTGTTGTATCCTACAATCTGCACTACATTAACTCATCTGATGCGATTGTAATCACCAAAAGAATTTCAATAAACACTACAGAAAACTATTCCTCGAGAAAGACACACGCGATCAAAACAGACACAAGCATGGAGATAATTTAGGATCGAAAATAACCAATCATAAAATGACAAAGTTTCCTGAGAGGTCCGAGGTTTGTTTGTTTTCTCTGCAGGAAGCTTTGTGTTTTTACTTCAATATTATTGGTTCGTTTATAAAAAGTTTGACTTCCTTTGTTCTCGATAAACATGTTCATTGGTTTGTTTTCTTCATTTCGATCCGGTTCAAATGGTCTCGCTGCTCTGAGCACTTCACAGATTTAATTTTCCTTCATTATTCACGTTTAGCTTTTCGGGTTGTAATTGTCACTGAGCCGGTCACCTCGCAGTTATTTTGAATAGCAAGTGGTTCAAATAATTTCGTTTTAGTTTTTAATTGGAATTGCTGAGGCCTAAAGAAGAAGCTTACACCGACTATCGCTAAGTAATTTACGTGCCTTTTGCTTACCTGCATTTGTTATGTGTTGATTTGTTGTGAGGTTTAACGTGCGTAGCTGATAGTTGTTGTTGTGGATGGCTTCAGCCAAGTGCTGTGCTCCAATGTCTGAGATGTTATTGTGTGAGAGGTTTAACGTGTGTAGCTGACAGTTGTTGTTGTTGATGGCTTTAGCCAAGTGCTGTGCTCCAATGTCTGAGATGTTATTGTGTGAGAGGTATAACGTGTGTAGCTGACAGTTGTTGTTGTTGATGGCTTTAGCCAAGTGCTGTGCTCCAATGTCTGAGATGTTATTTTCTGAGAGGTATAACGTGTGTAGCTGACAGTTGTTGTTGTTGATGGCGTCAGCCAAGTGTAGTGCTCCAATGTCTGAGATGTCATTATTCCAGAGATTTAACGTGCGTAGCTGACAGTTTTTGTTGTTGATGGCTTTAGCCAAGTGCTGCACTCCAATCTCAGAGATGTTATTTTCTGAGAGGTCTAACGAGCGTAGCTGACTGTTGTTGTTAATGGCGTCAGCCAAGTACCGTGCTCCAAAGTCTGAGATGTTACTTGCGATGAGGTATAATGTGCGTAGCTGACAGTTGTTGTTGCTGATAGCTTCAGCCAAGTGCCGTGTTCCAATGTGTGAGATGTTATTGTGTGAGAGGTTTAACGTACGTAGCTGACAGTTGCTGTTGATAGCTTCAGCCAAGTGCCGTGCTCCGATGCGTGAGATATTATTTTCTGAGAGGTTTAACGTGCGTAGCTGACTGTTGTTGCTGTTGATGGCT